CTAACGAAGCACTAACGATCAGAACTTGTCCGGTCGTTAGTGCTTTCAACGAGGGTAGGAAGTCAGCACTACATAAGGGGGGGTCGTTTTCTCGGAAACGGCCGGTCGTGCTGATGCGTTATGAAGCACTAAGAGGCACTAACGAAGCACTAACGATCAGAACTTGTCCGGTCGTTAGTGCTTTCAACGAGGGTAGGAAGTCAGCACTACATAAGGGGGGGTCGTTTTCTCGGAAACGGCCGGTCGTGCTGATGCGTTATGAAGCACTAAGAGGCACTAACGAAGCACTAACGATCAGAACTTGTCCGGTCGTTAGTGCTTTCAACGAGGGTAGGAAGTCAGCACTACATAAGGGGGGGTCGTTTTCTCGGAAACGGCCGGTCGTGCTGATGCGTTATGAAGCACTAAGAGGCACTAACGAAGCACTAACGATCAGAACTTGTCCGGTCGTTAGTGCTTTCAACGAGGGTAGGAAGTCAGCACTACATAAGGGAGGGTCGTTTTCTCGGAAACGGCCGGTCGTGCTGATGCAAGTTATGAAGCACTAAGAGGCACTAACGAAGCACTAACGATCGCTACTTGTCCGGTCGTTAGTGCTTTCAACGAGGGTAGGAAGTCAGCACTACATAAGGGGGGGTCGTTTTTTTGGAAACGGTCGGTCGTGCTGATGCAAGTTATGGAGCACTAAGAGGCACTAACGAAGCACTAACGATATGATCATGTACCGTCGTTAGTGCTTTCAATGACCGTGCTAACTTCACGGACCTCATGTGCAAGTGGTGGAAAGGCAGCTAGAGCCAGTAAAATCCTTAGTTTTCCAGTTGATTTTAGTATGTATCCAAATGTATTGTTTATCTAAAGTTACCAATAACATTTTTATTTCTCACAATTTATGTCCACCTCATGACCCTAATTTTATTTCATTTTGCAGATGTGTCTAACCTCCCAGTATAATGTCTCAAAGCTCCCATATGGGGGGAGGCGATACGGTTTGCAGGGTGGAAGATATAATTGTATGATTAGTACGTTTACGTTCATCTAACATCGTTATAGGCTCTAAAAGTTCTGGGAAGGTTGTGCCTATAAAGGTATGCCAAAATATTTGTCAAAAAGGTTGAGTTAACATTTTTTACTCGGCAGTTTTTTAAACTCAGTCTCCCCAACGGTTTTCATGTTTATTTTTAAGCATGTCAGAGTCTGGTTCTTTTTCTTCATAATAAAAGGGATTTGTTCTTCAACGCGAGGCCGAGAAGCGTGCCACTTATCATCAAATCATGGGTACCTGTTTTTCTTCATTTTTACATCTATCACAGTTGAAAGAAGAATGTTCAAATATTGTCATCAATTCGACATCCTCCTTTGAGAGGATCAAAGAAAAAACTGATTTTGTGAATATTAAATTTAACTTTAAGAAAGAGATGTGACCATTTCTCCTTTAGGAAGTAAATATTCATGTCCCTACTAGATAGGAATTTCATAAAAAATTACTGTCTAACAACGCGAGGCCGAGAAGCGTGTCCCTTAACCTGTACGTACGTACTAAGTAACGCTCATTTTGGCCAGTGATATAGAAGCTAATCTGTGTTTGTCTTTTTAAGTTTTGAACAGCTACGAATTTTCTGCGGGTTCAAACGTTCTTTTATGAAGAATGTTTTCTATATTACATTGTATTTATTTGTATTGGAATGCTTGCTTATTTTTTATTATCCTTGATACCCGATTCTCCCGACTGTGTTGTTATTCAAAAGATAAGGAGTTCGTATTGTGTTTATTATTATTCGATTACCTATTAAAACACATAAATTGCACATTGCAATTTTGTTATTGCGATTTAATATGACATTTTCCCTTGGCATTGGGAAGCGTGTACGCACACTAAAATATGTATATAGTTACATTATAATCTTTTCTTCTTTTTTTGGGCGTGAGTAAGCTTAAAAATAGGACACTTAAATACCAGGTTTTTGCTAAATAACTACAACCAATTTATTAAGATTATTTTTTTTTCAAAAACTCCAATTTTGACATCTTTGGTTTAACCGAAACGTTACTGCCGATTAATGTACCAGATCAAATGGTAAGGTTTTATGAAAATTACTGCATTATTAGAAATTATAGAATAGGCTCAATTAGCAGTTTTTTTTTTAAATTACATTTTCTTCAAGATTACTTTGCGTTATGAAATTTGTGCATGTTGTTGCGGAAGATTAGGTAGTGCATTGCTCTGATCGGGAACTACGTTTGGATTTTGGAGTACACCCACTTCGTTATTCGAATTTTGGCGTATTTACCTGCAGGATGAGCTGTAAAATGTACAACGAAAATCTACGCACACAAAATGTATTCTTTTACCGCGAACAACTGGTTACGTAATCGTTCGGTACAATAACCATTCTCGTCGTTAAGTGTAACTTAACATAAGCTCTAACAGCAAATTAATACTTATTTATTATATAAGTAGATAAAAGGATATTGTAACCATCGAGTGATTTACCTTTCACGAGATGGTTAGTTTCCCTTTACTGTCGTGTATAATACAAAACTTTATTTTATAGCAGAAGCCAAATCATTGTAAAGCTTCTGACAATTTTGAATTTAATTTAGACGTCAAAAATAGCAAGCTTAGGTCCTGCCGTCGCGCTCGTTTCCATAGAAATAGTACTGTCTGATGTTCTGAACGTCATTTCATATCATGCTCCGCGTCCCATTTGAAAGAAGAATGACAGACGTAATTTGAATGCATAATCATCTGTTTCACTTTATCCTTGCTACGTAGTCTACTCATTCAATTTCATCTGCTATAAAAGAAAACTTCTAAAACTGAGTAATTTAAGTCATTGTACGTTTAATTTCCCCATTTGTAAACATCGCTTTACAATAGAAACTCAAAGTATCTGTTTTGATCAGCTTCATGATCGCGTCTTTTATAATCCCAATTACAAAATGCTGACGCAAGAAGGTCAAAGCATACAATTCTATGCTGCAAAAAGTGCGGAAAGAAAGAGGTTATAAACTATTAGTAATGGTAGCAAAGGGATAGCCAGTAATAAAATTTTCAATCGAAATTACTTTGGCGTCTAATATTAAAAATCAATTTATCGACAGCATAAAAATTCGCAAGGATATTCATAACATGAAATTGAAAAATTCTTCTACAATATTTTCATTGTGCGTTAGGCAATCAATCCCGCGCTTGAACTGGTACACAGCGCCCAATGTTAAACAAACCTGCAATATCAATTCATTTTAGGTCATATATCACGTACAACATTCCGAGTTCACAAATTCGCTTTGAACGTAGGTAAGGTGGTAGGTGGAGACGTGATGCCGATAAGAAGACTCGAGAAGTTTCAATTCACTTTTTTTATTTTAGGGCAAAAATTATACTACATATTTTAAGGTAAAGTAAATATTAAATCTGCGTAAAAAGTAGACCCATAATTTTGTATAATAGCGCCCCGGTACATAAAACTGTTAATTATTAAATCTTAATTAAGTTAATTATATGGATTTCGCGCTTAGCGGATTAAAGAGGCATACAATTTATACGACACTACAGATGGCGACCCATGAAAAATTAACTCGATTTTATTAATGTTACAAGTACTAAACTCTGAAGAGGCGGGCGGTTTAAAGGATCTCTAATAGAGGGGGAAATCCTTTGTGTCCTTTCTTTCTTTCTACACTGCTTTTTATTTTAAAAACCGATTTGATTGCGCGAACACAATAAAAAGCAATATGTACCATAAAATTTTATACTGTCTATTAGTTGTTAACCGAAACTGACTTAGAAAAGGGATAACTAAATTTACTATCGCGAATTCACCTCACGCTAATACGTAGCTTTACTAAATTAGATTGAGACTTGCCAATTGAATTAAAGGCGAAATTAATGCATGAAGTGGTATTTATATCCATCTGTTACGCGATAAGCACAATAATTTTCTGCAGTAGCCCTCGGGTAGGCATTTCCCTTGTAGCGATCTTTCGCCAAGGATCATTGATTTGCTCTTAATGTTGTAATAACGGAGGCTAATTCGAGTTGAGAGGATAAAATAACACACGCCTTTAAAGTAGAAATTAGCATTGCAAAGTGATTTGAGACACATTTACGTTCTCGAAATATAAGAGTTTCGAATAGCACTAGAATAACAAAGTCCCTTTGTTTGTCTAGTCAAAATATACATTTGTGTGTGTGAAAAGGTCATATACTTGTATTTTTAATACGTTGTTATCACAATTTCGTGAAAGAGGTATTCGTAATTCTTTCAGTGTTTCAATTTTTCGTAAATCTGACAGAATAATAGGTCATTGTATCCTTTTTTTCAAAGTAAGTAGATATACAATGCGGATCCTGGACCACTTCAAGGTCGCTCGCTACCTGGCGGTGACCTTGGAAAGGTGTCAAGGTGACATGGCTGTGACCTTGGGAATTGGGTCAAGGTGAGAGTTGAGTGACACGTGATCGGTGACCTTGGAAATTAGGTCAAGGTGAAAGTCGCGTGCCACGTGGGCGGTGATCTCAATTTTTATCCGAGGCTAATGACCCCATTAATGTTCAAGGTAATCCGAGATCATTGACCCCAATTACTTTTCAAGGTCATCCGAGGTCATTGCTCCATTAAATTACAAGGTCATCCGAGATCATTGGTCCCATTAATTTTGAGGGTCATTCGAGGACATTGACCGCATTAATGTTAAGGTCATTCGAGGTCGTTGATCTTATTAATTTTCGAGGTCATCGGAGGCTATTGACCCCATTTTTGGGGCATCAAATTGTACTTCCAATGTCATCAGAGCTCATTGCCCCATAAATGGAATGGAATACGTATAGTGGAATGGTGCAGACGTGCTTTTATGCGCTCTACATAATTGAAATTTTATTCATATTCTTTGTTAATGTGTCTTATATAATATTTTACTGTATCCTTTTAAAAAATGGGTGGTGCTAATCGAGGAATTTCCTGTGTGATGTGTGCAAAGAAAGTGGGCAGATATGAAGACTCAATAACATGGTCTAAGACGTCTACAGCCATGGAATCAGCCATTGTAGGTGAAGGTTTTAAAAATTCCATAACGCGCCACAATCTTATATATGGAAAACTAATTGGGGATGGCGACAGTAGCGTTTACAAACATTTAGTTGAAATCGCACCATACGGTCCATCGTTTTACATAAAAAAAATTGAATGTCGCAATCATTTACTTCGAAACTTCATAAATAAACTCAGCGATTTGAGTAAAGACACCAAATACTCAAAACCTCACAGAGAGTATGTGTCAAATCCATCAATGCTAGGTCGCTTCCGCAATGCAGTTATAAGGGCTATCGCATACAGGAAATCCGAAAATAATGCACTTGATGACAAGATTGACAATTTAAAGAAGGATATATTGAATAGTCCCTACCATATCTTTGGCCGCCATGTACATTGCAAAGATTACTTTTGCAAAGGTTCAGATGAGAATAAGGTAATGTTTCTGATTTGCTATTTATTAATTCCATACTAAAGGTGTTTTCTTATTTTTAGGATGATTTAGTTGATATACAGGGTGAATCAGAGCACCCGTCCCAGGCTTTTATCTTGGAATAGAGACGCCTTAGAGTTTTAGGAAAAAAATTTTCATTACCAAAGCCTACCTGAAGAATTTAATGGTAGTAGTCTCTATTTCCGGAATTAACCGGAAGTAGGCGTAACAGCACTCAACTTCAGAATTTCAAATGGAACCCTAGGTCTTGTGTGGTATCGTTGGATAGGTATTTTGAAAACAAACAACTTTTGTAGGAAACATTTTTTTTTTGTAAAAAGTGTTATTTACGAAATAAAATTAATAAATATGTTATTTACGAAATAAAAATAAATAAATAAAAAAGCTGACTTAAAACCAAATGATTCCTGCTGTTCCCGGCTACTGCGATTTAATTCAAGTGTTTTTGTTTGAAAAGGTAAGACAGATATTGTTTTGTGTAAATAGCAACGTAGTTTTTTGTCATTATTACGACAGGTAATAGTAACTTTACACCTGCATTTTAATGTTAAATTTACATTATTTGTTTAAATTTTTCTTCCATACACACATGTGCAAAGGGTTTTTTATTGTAACAACATGGTATTTTCAAACCGCGAAGGTTTCGATATGCTGATGGTGTTGGCGGGTGAGTGTCGTCAAAATTATAGAGCAGCTGAGAGATTATACGCTGAGCGATACCCTCAGCGACCCGTTCAGTCGAGGAAAGTGTTTCAACGCCTCGCTGATCGAGTTAAGATGACTGGTACAACCGAAACACAATAAGAATCGGCGCATCGGACGGTATGTACAGGATGAAAGAGCGCCTGATATCCTTGCCGCTGTTGCTCTGGACCCACACGTTTCAACCAGGAGACTTGCAATCGACGCTGGGATGAGTCAAATGACAGCTTGGAGGATTTTAAATGGCAACAAATTATATCCATATCAAAAAATGAGGTGCTTAGGGCAGTCGACAACGTCCGACTTCGGCTACAAAACTGCATCAATCAAAATGGAAGACATTTTGAACATATTAATTAATATTTATTTCGTAAATAACACGTTTTACAAAAAAAAAATGTTTCCTACAAAAGTTGTTTGTTTTCAAAATACCTATCCAACGATACCACACAAGACCTAGGGTTCCATTTGAAATTCTGAAATTGAGTGCTGTTACGCCTACTTCCGGTTAATTCCGGAAATAGAGACTACTACCATTAAATTCTTCAGGTAGGCTTTGGTAATGAAAATTTTTTTCCTAAAACTCTAAGGCGTCTCTATTCCAAGATAAAAGCCTGGGACGGGTGCTCTGATTCACCCTGTACAACACACATGTCCTTCAATTTTCATATATATACCCAAAACGGGATCCTAGGTGGAATTAATACCATTATACAACGACTTGCGGATCACGCCTCTAGTTTACTGTATGATACAGACAATAATCCTGCGGAAACTTATAATTCCATCATAGCTAAACTTGTAGGAGGTAAAAGAATAAACTTTTCACTCAAAAATTCCTACCAATTAAGGTGTGAACTGGCGGCCATATCCTACAATTGCAAACAACGTAATTTATTAGGCGTTTTACATAAGCAGCTATGTGGAAGACCACCAGGACATTACACACAAATCTTCCTAGACGCCCAACTACATCGGTACAACAACAGATCTAGAAAACGTAAGTATGTTTATCACAATCACTCGCCCCCTTTCCGCGTCTTTTATTTGTAATTATTTCTTTTTGTTTTAGATCATATCAAGAAAAGAGCGTTTCAGACCGCTGATCAACATTACGGTATGGTGGACGAAATTGCAATCCCTGACCTATCCTTGGAAGAATATGAACTAAAATCAGCCCAATTTCTAAAAGATTTGAAGAACTTAAACAGAAGAGATGTTGAGCGTGATACAATAAACCAATCAAAAAGCGATTTATGGATTATTGAACGTAAAAAAAGAATAACAGCTTCTAATTTTGGGAAAGTTTGCAAATTACGCAAGACAACTTCCACAGCTAAAACTGTAACACACTTACTGTATAGTTCTTTTAGAGGAAACAAATACACACAATTTGGATTGGAGAGCGAAGTAAATGCCATTGAGCACTTTGAACGCCTATATCAAGTAAAGGTAACCAGATGCGGTCTCATCGTCGATGAAGAAAAACCGTATTTGGCTTGTTCTCCTGACGGTTTAGTTGGGGAAGACAGTATAGTTGAAATTAAGAGTTCCTTGAAAAGTGGCGACCACGATCCTGTTGAGGCATGTATGTTAAAATTAATTGACTATTGTGTTTTAGATGAGGAAAACAATAGAATTATGCTAAAAAGGAGTCATAATTATTACTATCAACTCCAAGGCATTATGCACATCACCAAGAGAAGCAACTGTTATTTTATAGTTTATACAACAGCGGGAATCCATGTTGAGGAAATAAGAAGGTATGTTACCTACAAAATATGTCTAGCGAAATACTCATGCACTTACATTCTTATAGGGATGACATCTTTTGGACACAACATATGGAAAAAAAGCTGCAAGAATTTTACATGCAGTCATTATTGCCAGAATTAGTGGATTCAAGGCGATGTCGTAATATGGACATTAGGACGGTACACATGGTAAATTAAATACTTTTTCGGAAATGCAAACCTGCTTGTTCGTTTTTTATTTACCTAATATTTAAGTTTATATGTAAAATTGTATTAAAATTTATCTTTCAAATAAAAGTACCATTAGTGACATGTTTTACAATGGTGAAACACCAAACCGTATGTTTTCAATAAAATAATTGCGTCACTTGTCCCATATTTATAAAATTGCATTGGCGATGACAATAATGGGGTACCGCGAATAACGATTCCCTGGAGTGCTCGGAATGGAAATTTTCGAGAACCGGAACGCGAGCATCAGCCCATCCCCAGGAGGTTTAGGAAGGGGGGGGGGGGCATAGTAAACATAATGGTTGCGCTTTGGAGGAAAAATATTCCAAATTTAAAATTTTGGAAGAATAAACATTATTTACTGCCTTTCAAAGGTTAAAGAGAAAGCTCCAAAACATTAAAAAATCAGTTACAGAGTTCCGCTTTGTGGAATCTATTGTTTCCCTTTGTGTAGAGACAAAGCGAATTCTGCTGGGTTCCGTGTGCTGGTACGATCTGGAGAACGTATAATCCTTTCCAGATGTGATATTTACCACACTAAGAAAAAATAAACCAACAATGAGGGTTATTCCCTAACTCTAAAGGAATCGAAATGTAACAAATCGAATCGGAATGTTTAGTAAAATCGGAATTATTAGGCAAACAATTCCGATTTGACTAAACATTCCGATTCGATTTGTTACATTTCGATTCGATTGGAAGTTAGGGAATCATTTCCATTATGTAGGATTATGTGCAATTTTTTTTCGGGGGGAGGATCTGACCACACGGTCGCTTCATGAACGGGAACGGCGTACAAAATTTTTCCACGACACGAAACTATATGTAATATTTTTTACCAACCGGAACCCGGAATAACATTCGTTCCGGTCCATTCCGCTTCCCCGCAGACATTCAAAGGTTCTGCATAAATGTAGTACAAATAGCCTCGGGTATATACAAGGTAAATTTATTTTGTTAGTGGTTTAAATTATCCACTAATTACACCAAGTCCTCGGGCAATTTATACCTGCCGCGGATCATTAGAAAGAAAAGAGATACCTATATTGTGTTGCAGTGGATTTTCAACCTTATTGACATGAAACATTTCCATCGATTTCTTCCGTTTTTCCCAATATTTTGGCACTAGTTTATAATTCTACAACGTGCGCGGTGGTTTAAACTTTTATACACTGCACGTACTGTGTTATAATAGAAGATTATTTAATAATAATGATATCTGTGATTGATTATATTGAAAATTCGAAATCGCCACACAAAAAATCATATCTATTAACACATGCTTCGTTTTTAAAAAAACGTTCTATTGTAACATTCAGACACATGTATACACCAAAAAGACGTTTTGTCCGTTTCTTCAACATTTCAAATAAATTTTTTTTTTGGGAAATAAGTTAACATTGCTCTTATGGGTGTATGATGTGTTGCCGACTTTCTATTTAGAACCCCCTTAAGTACCATCGTACATTTTAATATGAAAATTAGAGAATTGTTTGAAGAACAGTGACTAATTTATTAGGACCTTTTTCGATTACCTAATCACTGCATGTATGTTACTGCTACAATTATTGTAGAGTGGTTCATAAGCGAATTTTAACCCCACCACTGTTAAGTTAATTGTTCATTTAACATTTTTTAAAAAGATGCATATTGCGATGAAAAATAATATAATGACAGTAAAGTTTACGCGCCCATAGACGAAATGACCTGCAACATATGATTTTGGGTCAGACGCACCGTGAAGTCAGTTCGCCCATTTGGAATTTTTAAAAAAGACATATACGGAAATGCAAACAAACGATGAAAATTGTTAAACAAACGTAAACAAACGATAAACAAACGACCTGCATTGATAAACAAACAAATTATGATTTTGGGCGAGCCACCGTGAAGTTAGCTCGCCCATTTTGAATTTTTAAAAAAGACATACGGAAATGTAAACAAACGATGAAAATAGTTAAACAAACGTAAACAAACGATAAACAAACGATGTGCATACAAATAATATTAATATGAACAATGGGCGGTGCCAACTTCACGGACGTTGATTACACTTTATGTGTAAGTACTCTGTTGTTTAAGCTGTTACTTTCACAAATTTTTAGGCTGATAGTCCTGCACCACCTCTTAATATTATATCATCAAATACTTCCGAAGATGACAGCATTTTTTCGCCCTCTGTTGGATCCAAAAGTAGTAAATATATAATTTCTTTTTCATTCATCCAATAACTTCTTACAGGAAAAAGAAGACGATCAAAAGAGACAAGTAAGGAAGTATTTGAAACGTTTTCCACACTCTCCAGAGAACTAAACCATCATATGGAAACTATCACCCAAAATTTACAAGAATCGGTTGAAGAAAAAAAAAACTTAATAAATTGTTGCAAGAACAACATCAAATTCATAACACCACTAACCATTTATTAAATGAATTGTTAAAATTTCTAAAAGCGCAATATAACAAATAAAATTAAAAAAATTGTTCAATATATAATCGACGAGCTTCTTGGCCCATTTGCCGTAAGACAACATCCCGCCTCTCTGGTAATGGTGGCATAGGTGGTCTCTCTTGAACATCCATTTCATCCCACATCACATCCAGATTTTGCACATTATAATGGATGGCAATGTTGTGTAAAACGCAACAAGTTAATGTTATTTGTGCTGCAACTCGTGGTTCATAATGAAGAGTACGGTCCTTCAGTAAACATCGAAATCGACCTTTCAAGACCCCAATGCACCGTTCTACAGTGCTACGGCACCTTTTAAAATTATTGTTGTAATTATGTTGCTGGTTCGTGTTTGGATTTGGTATTGGCACAAATAACCATGGCAGGCATGGATAACCAGAATCTCCTTTAAAAATGCGTAGTTAGCTCTTGAATACTTAATTATTGATTTACCCATGATTTTGTAATCCTCTCCAGCTTCAAAACCCGTTCTCATCATGTCGCTTAAGGTACTCATTCGCCAAATATAGGCGTCATGTGTGCTACCAGGCCATCTGGCCACGACATTTACTATTTTTAAGTCTGAATTGCATACCTAAAAAATATATAACTTCAAATGTTAAAAAAAATCAATGATACTAACAATCTGACAATTTAGGCTATGGTAACCTTTACGATTCACATATACTTCTTCATTTTCTTTTGGTTTAACAATTGCAATGTGAGTACCATATACAATGCCTAATATTGTAGGCATGTTGTACAGGTGTAAAAATCTGAAAGGGAATTATAAAAATAGCTAAATACCTCTCTGTGGCTGCATTTTTTCTCCTACATTATTAGGAAAACGAATCCACAATCGCAATATGTGTCGTACTATGACATTACTTACTTCCCTAATTGACCTGCTTACCATTGTCTGACTAATGCAGGAAAGCATATTATTTCCTACACTTCGCTGATAGCTTCCAACAGCAAAAAAGTTTAATGCGGCAAGGATCTAAATATATATATACAAATTAACTAATATCCAATTATCACCTATACCAATTCTACCCTTGATAATATTGGCAATCTGTTTCTTTGAGTACCAGCATCCATGTGTAGTTGTGAAGTGTTAACTAAGTCTATACACGCACGTTTACTTAATCTAAAGTTTTTTATAAACTCCCAATCGTAAATTGTAAAAGGGTCTTGGGCATCCCGAACCATTCTACGAAAAAGTCTTACACGATTCCTTTCTTCGTCTACCTCCATTTCATCAACGATGAGAAAGTTTATTAATCCAAACGCCATAGAACTAACGTTTATTTTAAGAAGTCTACACTATAGCTAACGATAAAAGACGGGAAGCACAAGATAAATACTCGACGAAAATTAATTAAAATTATGAATAAACAAAATTTAAAAGCAAGGTTATGAAATGTAGCCAAACCAAAATACCATACCAACCACTAAAACATTCAGTACAAACTTTAAAAACCTAAACTTCCTATAACACCCTAAAAGTAGAATTTTGGTGTCATGGCGACGTCGAAATTCTAATGTCGACCGTCGAAACGAGTTAGAATCGGTACCCAGGTCAGTCCGGTTCAAATGAACTAAACTAAAGAATATCTACACTCTACAGATCCGCACGCGAGCGCCTTCGTTTCGAGCGAAGACTGCACCTGAGTGCACCACACCTAAACAAATGCATTTCGGTGTAACGCTGTTCATAGCGTCGCAATTCGAACCGCAGGAACTGTTCTTTTCTCGAAACTGAACTAGGTGCACCTGCTCCTGTGATTGAACTAGTTCCAAAAGAACAATAATAATAATTTATCCCCAACAACAAAGCCTATTACAGGAAATTTCAAGAGATAAACAAAATTAAAATACAAATTTATAATAATGTTACAAAAATAAGTGTAAGAAATCTTCAAGTTAGTTTAGCAAATGAGTCCGTAAATTAAATTCGAATTCATTGAAAGATGAAAATAAATCAATATGGTTACAAAACTGATTGTGCAATGTGCACATTTTGTTTAATGGTGACTTTAAATTGGTGGAGTGTTGTAATAAAAAATCAAATTATGCCTAGTAACAAGATAGTTCAACTTCGACACAAAGGTAACATCACCACTTACGTTATTTACAAGTTTATACAGATACAGCATTGAAATAAACGTAGTTAATTTAACTACACCAAATTCTTAAAAAACGGCTAAGTATGTTTCGTAATCTTCCAAATGTTTTGGAGGTCGCCTTTCTCCTTGATTTCTCTCCATGGTTATACTTTGGATAGGTCGATGCTGTGCCAAGTGTGGTTCAAAACTTGGATCGTCCTCATCACGATGACTTCCGTACTTTCGAGCTCATCATTATGGCTGGAGATACTTTCTGAACTGGAATCGGAGCCATCTGAACGGTCCAACAGAAACATCTCTGAACTGTATTTCTTGTTGTGTTGTGAGCATATATGCTTCTTTAGTACTTCTTGGATTTACCGTAATCTATGACCTCTATTTCTTTAATGCTTCGCGTGTATATGCGATTATTATACATAGTTCTCTCCTATTTAACGAATGTATTTATTTGTTTACAAAACACTACACATTACTCAGAGGGAAACCGCTATAAGAACAACACCACTGAAATATGTAGGGTGTCCTGACATTTTCATGTTTTTCTGTGTTCATATTTACATTTGTAGCAAATTTATTTCTTATCGTTGGAGAATCCTTTGGGTTACATTTATCTGTCGCCACAAGAACGCGGTTTGCATTTCTGAAATGACTATATTATAACATAACTATCCACTGTTGGTAGATGTACACGAAAAGCAGAATTATGTACGGTATAAAAAACGCACAAAGCACAACAAAAAAAAAGAGTGTGTTAATCGTAGTACTAATCATCCTAAAAGTAAATACACATTGCTAATGAAATTCGCCGAATCTTTACTCATCATCGTTATAAACACTGCGTCTGATGTATTTAAGACTCCGTAAGTACATGCTGTTTCAGAAAAGTAGGTCAATCGTCATTATTCTGCCTGTAATACTACTAAGCAAACATTTTAATCATAACAACCTGCAAAGGTGGAGTACCAGACACGATGTACTTATGAAATGACATGTAAACTCCGAGTCGGTAGTAAAGTAAATTTTTTAAAATCTACTTGCTTTCATAAAGGGAGCTTTCCAATCAGCGATAGTTTCATTTACATTCCAACTAAGCTTCAAAAATCCATAAAGTGAACCGTAAATTACGGATTCCAGTTTTTATGTAAATTTTCCATTAATCTGACGCAAGAATCTGAATTTTTATTTTGCGAAAGTTGTACAACAAGTTTCTGATTTTGTATTCACCTTTCTCTCCGGTATAAATAAAACCCGACCCAATTCGAACGTATTATTGATTTAACGCGCAGTCTATAAAGGGTTAATTGTATTTCAATTTGAGTGCTAGTAAAACATTAGAAAACGAAGAGAAACGAGAGGTGGATTAAGATAAGAGTTTCATCTAATATGCAGCATTGTATACGTGCTAGTGGTTTTCCTGAACGTGTTGAGCTACTTCCAAGAACTTTAAACTATTGTCGAGCACTGTAAAGTACCTTTCCAGGGTGTTACCTAATAAATAAATGAATTTTAATACAGTAAATTGCCTTTGTATGTTTCTAGTCTCTTCTTTTAGCAAACCGTGGATCAGAGAGAATGCTGAGTTAACTTTCCGTAATCGGTGTTTGTGCAAGTCTATAACCGATGCACCGTATTTTTTATTACAGACGTTTAGGTTTGTTAAATCTAATATTTTTTCATTTCGATAATTGTAAAATTGGCGCTATACTAAATCAACTTCAATAGAATAATAAAATTTCTGTTCCGTTCTAAATAAATTAATAGTGAATTATGTCTGGAAATCACGACCGTATTTTCAAACTGTCGCCGCTTGCCAATTTCGTGCGAAACCGTTCTTCCTAGGAATAACTTCATTCGAATATTCAATCTCGAAATTTATTAAAGATGATTAAATGCGGAAACTAATTTCCAATCCGAAACTGATCGCTATAAGTTTGTGTTACCTTTCACAGTTGAAATTTAAAGCATAATTACAATTACAAAATCTTAAATAAAACGAAAACCAAAACAGATAGGTATAGGGAAAGTAATATTTGAAAAAAACAACTTTTAAGGTTTGAAGTTATTAAACTTGACCATCAATTCTAAAACACCCTGTAGAAGGACGATCAAAATTTAAATCATTCAAAGTCGGATACATTCGTTCTGCAGAAATTTTCAAAATAATAAAAATAAAGCACCAATAAACCTTCTTTTGTAAGAAAAAATGATAGTAGATCAATTTACAGAAAATAAACGAGCAATATTATTTGAAGGCGTAGTAAGAGTTTATATTTGGTACAGACATTTTCCATGTATTAAACCGGGATTTAACTTTTACAGAATCAATTATTCTAAGAGGATTACTCCGGAACGTATCAGTAAATTGAATGACGATTAGTTGCGTGTTTATGCAACGTGCTTAGTTTCAAAGTTTAATTGATCGGGCATTGACGGTTCAATATCTTTGTCAAACGGGAAATTTAGTAATTAATTGGGAGAGAGAACCAGAGAATTAAATCACCAACAATCCCCTAACAAAAGATATCTTTATCACGCACTCCTCTTGACCATTCTAAATTCGAAATTTCATAATGTATTCCAACATAACACAAAGAGAGTGAGCCGTTAAAGCGCCCGTGGCAAGGTATCAGAAATTTGCGTTTATAACGGCATGCGTGAACTGTATAATTAGGAATGTGATTGCGATCTATTGTACAACTTACTGGTGTTTGTTGTAAAAGGTTAATTAAAAGTCCCAGTGGGGTCAATTATGTATTTTTGTTTGACGAGTTTTACTTCGAAAATTGCTACTCTCATATGGATAAAAGTAAATCATTTTCCAAAGGTTTATGCCAATCAGTATTTATAAAAAAAAATATATGTCGTGAAATTCCGTTTGAACTTGGTAATAAAAGTGGCACCGCTTTCAAAGAACAAATAAACGTACACAAATTCTTTAATCTTTTGTAATAATGCTTCATAATGGCATAATATGTAGGGGAGAGGGGGGCATAACCGGACGGTTAACAGTAAAGTTGTATAAAAATCAAAAATTTTATTATTTAAAAAAACGAAAAACATATTCAATAACATGTTGTAGACTACTATAGAAAATATAAATGTAAAACAAAATAACTCTTACCAAATAAAAAAAATATTGCTTTCTGCTAACAGTCCTTAGTCCGATTTTGCCCCGACCGTTGGGGCAGAACCGGTTCCGACTTGGGGCAATGTCGGACAAAATAGTAAATTAGGAAAAATTACATTTGCGACACTGAAATGCAACTAAATCGTCTTCTTCCAAGCCAGTGCAACCTTCATGGGCCCAGTTTGTGCAATCGACGCATTGCACCCACCCATCATCTTTTTTTGTTTCATAGTATGATTCGTGACAATATACACACATTTCTTCATCGCCACTCGTTCCTTCGTTGTTATTATCATCAGAACTTGTATAAATAGCTTGTTTTCTTTGCTTTTTCTTCTTTTTCTCCGTTTCTTCTTCATTCTCGCGATCACAACTTATATCTCCTTTTTTTTGCTTCTTTGCCTTCTTCTGTTTAACTCTTCCCTTTAAGTTTCTTTTTACAGCCGTGCATTGCTTTTTCTGCTTGTCCAAGGCTTCTTCCAACTCATTTTCATAAGGCGATTCGGTAAGAATCACCGTTTTACCTCGTTTACGGCAATTTGGTTTCGCTGATCTCAAAGCTTCTGGCACCGGAAACAGGTCCTTTGGCGATTTTGAAAATGTCGAAGGACAAGACACTGATGACCCACTTCTAGAAGTTCCGTCGTTTTCATATATCGTATTAGGCACTGTATTCAGTAATCCAGACGACCCAGGTTGAGATGTAACGGACCTGTTTACTTCCTCCTCAACCTGCTGTATCGAAATTTCGGTTTGCTCTATGTCTTCTACTTGCATTCTAACATTGACATCGTTATTAATGAATTGCGTATTTTCATTGGAGTCTCTTTCCCGTTCGGTAGTCTCTGCCGCTGCAAAATCAGCATCTCCAAAAATATTCGGATCAGTTGGATAAATCCCAGTTTTTCTGAATCCAGATGTAGCCGTTTGTACGGTGGCTGCCTTTTCGTAAGCTCTCCCGAATAACTTGCAAATGTGGAATTGTGTCACTACCCGACCAAGATTATTTCGTAGCCAAGATTTTTGTTCCTGGCTATAATATGCACTCAATGGTGCCATAAAGCTGACATCGAGTGCTTGGAGGCAGTGAGTACAATGCGGCGGAAAGCATAGCATCACTATTCCATTGGCACGGCCATAATTTATGACTTCTATGTTTTTGGTATGCGTAGCATGACCGTCGAGAAGCAGTAAAACAGGATCTGCAATAGATGGTTTGACGTGCGAGGCAAAATGTTTCAGCCACTGAACAAAAATGTCACTCTGCATCCATCCGGATTTGTGGCAGGCTGCTACTGTTCCCAAAGAAGCTCCATCCAGTAGTTCTGCTTTCATTCGTACACGTGGAAAAACTAGGAGTGGTGGAACATAGTGCCCAGATGCCGAGAAACACAATTCTGCTGTTACGGTCTGTCCCCTCTCTGCTGAGGTTAAAGTACCAACCTGCCTTCGACCTTTTTGAGCTATAATCTTGGACTGACATTTTGGAACAGTAGTGATAGCCGTTTCATCGACATTGTAAATACGATGGGGTTGTATTTTGTATTTATCCAAGCAGGTGACAAGATTAGTAAAAAATTTTGATACAGCTGTTTTGTTAAACCCCATTGCTCGTGCTACAGAGGTTGGTTCAGGACTTCTTAAACTTAGATCCTGATGCCGTTTAAGGAAGCCTTTTAACCAATCTAACCCTGCAATAATATTTTTGAAATTATGCTGTATATTATTTTGTTCTGCCAACTGGAACGCTAAACGTCTGAGATCTTTTGTGGTTAGACCAAAAAGTCTACCTTCCATTAACTTCACATATTCCACAAGTTCTGATTCTTGCACGTCCGTAAAAGTTTTCTTGAAGTTTCCCATACCTGTAACAAATTTTCTTCATTTAATTGAGCAAAATAGCTCCCAAGTTCTCCCACCTCTTCTCTTATGAAGATCATGACCTGGTTCAGTCAAATCCGACTGATGAAACTGGTATTTATTTGTAAAAACACTTTATTTTACTGTATTCACTCATCCCTATTTTCATTTAATTCTTTACCTTTTAAAGCTGCATCCTCCAATGTAACAGATCCCCTTTTTAGTTTTTTCAATCTATCCTCCAATGTAGATTTTGGTACGCCATAATTTAGTGATGCTTTTCTCAATCCCATTTCTCCTCTACCGATTGTATTGCATTTCGCATTTGTTCTTCATCCCACTCCTGCCTCGTCGTTTTTCTCTTATAATTTCGCATGATTAAGCTTGCAATAATGCCTATAGCAATTACAATATATTAGTTGAATAGTGAATTATCAACGGGGCAGAATCGGACATGTCCGATTTTGCCCCGTCCGATTGTGCCCCACGACACTTCTAAGATAAACATTCATGGCTTACTTTTCATGTATAAATATGAATTCAAAGTTGAGTTAAATCATGTTTTTGATTAATATTCATATTAGAAGTGCCGTGGGGCACAATCAGACGGCGCTAAATTGGACATGTACGGTGCTGCCCCGTTGATGATTCACTATTCAACTAACACATTGTACGTTCTGTTGGTTTGTGTAACTGACTGAACGCACTCTCATTGTGTTAGGAGTAGTTGGCAGCATTGGCATTGACATTGCTTTTGTCGTGAGAATGACAGGTCTATCTTTGCGAGGAATGTCGTGTTGAATTTGAAAATTGTTTAAACTAATTATCTAAGCGCCTTTATGCGAATGCGGCATGGCTGTAATCCTCTTTAGGTAATGTTACTCGTAATTTCATAGAATTACTCTTTGTTAACACGTTTCGATTCAGGTTATACCATATGTGTTAATTTAATTACGTATCTTTGTTTTATCTACCTCGTAATCTGAAACCCATTTGTTAATGGGTACGTAAGTTCGAATTCATTGGAATTAAGTCTGATTTTTCGCATTTTAGTTTTTGGATATATTTTTCTTTATACGTTACGAGCATTGGGGTTATCGCAGTTAGAAAATGGCGTGTTCTGGATGAAATGTAAATACCTACTCGCTTTCGAATTGAAGAATTCTAACTGTCGCTTAGCTGAAACTGATCTATTACGTTATATCTAAGATGGAAGGATCGCTACGCAAATGTTTATAACAAATACCGAAAATTGCAAACTTGCAGGTAAGCTGTTGATAATAATTATTGCTTTATTTCATTTGTGAGTAACTTCCAATTTTCTCGAAAACGAATCGACCGATTTTAATAAATCAAACGTCAAAAAGCAGTTTAGTTTACTTATCAATGAACAGTAATAACAGCTAAGCAAACCGGGGCTACTTTGACATGTTTTGAGAGGTTTATGCAGGTACAGTTTGTTGTAAATACATATCGGGTACTTTTTGTATCTAAATAGAACAATTGGACCTTTGGCTAAGCAATCTGTGTCAAATTGGTGCTGGGGCAATGGACCCAGGGTCGGGGCTACTTTGTCATACGTTAAAATGTTTTATAAGTCAAAGTTAGCGATAAGGCGGGCTTTGACACATTTCTTAGTTTGAGGGTATGTGGGGGGGCAAAAAACCAACACATCAACATAACTCTTTAACTAAACTTAAAATGGAATTTATCAAATAAGACATCAAAGTAGGAAACACTTAAAATTAGCAAAAAAATCTGATGTGTAGGTAACTAAAAAAAATTGTTTTTCAATAGTTTTCTAATCATCGTCTTCACAGCGTTCACACTCATACGATAGATTTTTGGATCCTTTATTGCAATTACCGAAAACCCACTGGAGGCATGTTATGCAACAAATCCAGTCTGTTTTTAACTTATAATGACGAAAGTCACATAGACAAATCGAGCATAGTCGAGTCTTCTGCAATTTTACCCTCTTGTGGTCCTTCCCACACGCTTTCTAGACCCTTTATTGGAAGTTGAGGGTTGCTCTAGCTCTGTTATCTCAATCGCATGTTGCTGTGTGTTTTCATTTTCACTTTCTTCAGGAGGTGGATTTCCATTCTGTGCACCACGCCTATGAAGGATTTTTTTTCCTCTTTGGTGGCGAATCCTGCTTGAATCATAACCCCTCGTTTCTTTCAAAAACTCTAGCAAACTTTCATCAAGAACCCTTCCTGAGCCCGTGCTTTCCGAAGGAAGTTTGTTTAAAACCACTTGAGGGTCAAACGGATAAATTCCTGTGGCCCTGAAAGAGTTTTGCAAATTTTTTTTGAGTTATGAGCAACGGCATCCATTAATCTCTGGAGTAGAATGGGGAACTGCTCTTGGGTATGGTGCATTTTCTTCTCGACTCTTGTCGCCATCGGTCTAGAACTTTACGCCACTGTTTTTTAAAGGTGCAAAAAACCTACATCAAGGGGTTGAAGCATGTGAGTCGAATTTGGGGTGAGTGTGGTAAAATAAATATTACTACCAAGCGCAGTCTGTACGACCTCAGGGGCGAAATGACATGCTAAATTGTCGCCAATAACAACAACCTTCTCATTTTCTATTTTATGTTCATTTGATGTATGGTAGGAGAACCTTGAAGAACCACATTTCGAATTGCGTCATATCAAACCATCCACTGCTGCTGTGGCTATAAAAAGTTCCCGGGGGCCCCCTTTGATCCAATTTTCGTAAAGATTTTTGGATTTATAAACCACCATAGGAGGAAGCAATTCTCCTTCAGCAGTGCCACAGAACCTTATGCTGACCGATGTCTTTGAATGTTCCTGTACCCTTTCTACACGTTTGCGACCACGTGGAACTAAAACTTTTTTACCTGTAATTAACGCGCCAAGAAGACTTTTTTCGATCTTGTTAGCTGATTTTAAATTTGTTGATTTTTTCTGGTTTCAGATCAAAACTGCATTGTATGGTTTAACTCATTTTTATGTACTAATATTTCGGACTAAATTAGTACTTCATCAGAGTAGATAAATTAGGTAACTTGAAGACACAATAAATTCCGTAACTATTAACATTTAAAATTATACAATTATGGTGACAGGTTTCATATTAAAACATTTAATCGTAGAATTCTAGAATTTGCTGACATGTTTTAATTTTCAAAAGCTAGGTGTTGATTCGATATGTTCATGTTAAAAGATTTCCAAATACCAAACTAGATTAATTTGGAAAAGATTGCAGAGTTTATTTTTTAAAAGGAGTATGAAAAAGTTACGATATCAGAACTATTGATCGTATTTTATGACATTTGTAACTTCTGAGCAATTAGCTTAAAACACTTGCTCTGTGTTAATCAGTGTCACTCGCGTACGTCAGATGAATTAAGTCTTAAATTACATTTTAATGTAATTAAAAAAGTAAGAATAAAATTGTGATGGTTGGCAATTTTCAGTTGAAAAAAAATTTCTTTAACGAGTTACTTTAATTGTCTTGGTAATATTATAATACTTATGAATTACTACGTGTAATTTTATTTCAATTCGAAAGTATAGGCAACCTAACTGATTCAATCAACCGAATACCACTCACTGTCACGAACGCTATGCATTCTCTACGGCGACCGCTGTTTTCCCAAGAGCACTAATGAAATCAATGTTACTTGTGTTTCCTTTTAAGTTTATGTGGTTCAGATTCAAGTTCCTTTTTAGAACAGCATGTCAGTTTCATGAATGTTTTTTTGTTCGTACGTAATATAAAACAATTATTAAACCCGCACGTCAGTTTAATGGAAAGGTTTCACCAGCGGATCCATCGATGTTATTTCCGCAAAATTTAAATGGGAGTTTTAACTCGTTGCGAAAAGAAAAATTAATTTTGATGTATAAAATCGATACAAGGCGTGGTCACTAATTTTCGTTGTATGGGGTTTGTTTCTATTCTGTAAGCCACCACTAAGCAACTTTTCCATATCCATGTTTACGAAAAACAATATTCTATGTTTATTTCCTATTACTTTGCGCAATGTGATGGGGCAATTAATGAACATTTCATTTATCAAGTTAGACAGAGTTAATTAAACCTGTGGGTCATTTGAAGTGAAATTTACACAACGCATCGTTTTAAATATCTAAACCTAATGTGGTTTATTAATTTAACATTTTGGTCTAACTGCCGCATTGGCCACCCTATCGATAATCAGATAAACCAACAATGTCTACAGCAGATCAGAAAATGTATTAATCTGGATTCAGCACTGTGGATGTTGAATCGCTCAACTTTTGGCATTGCGTATTACATAAGTAGGGAAAGAATGGGGGTGCGCAGATCCTCTTTGACCTTGGGTTCCGCGCATATGGGCTCTATATGGATGGGGATGCGCAGATCCTGATCACAATCCTATGGGGATTCAATGAATCCTCTGACCTACTTTTAAAATGCGAGTGGGGTCTCAGAGAATCCTCGATGACCTAGTTACAACCCATTGGGGTCTCAAATGATCCTTCCTTAACGTACGGGGATTCATTTGAGCCGTCCTTGATCTTATCTTAATTGATGGGGTCACAAATGAGCCGTGTTTGCTTAGTTAGGTAAACGGATCCTCTGTGACTTACGGGTGTCCATTTAGGCCGTCCGTGATCTCGTCTTTAGTCGTAAACTCGTAACGCAAAAAAGAAACATTTTACGTAACTAATTATCAAGACGCAAAGAGCCTGAAAGATCTCATAAATTAATTGTATTTCGAACAAGGAAAAGTTCATAAATTTAATTCTTAGTAATCTCATTTAAGTGTGTAATAAATTATGAAGATTCAAAGAAGTCGTGTTTCAGTATATTCAAAATACCCAATTTCCTGAACAGCGCTCGGGTATTCCACTTTAAAATGAAGTTGAAAAAACATCAACGTTCATGAGTGTGCTACCCTGTTAAACAAAAATTTAGCAAAATTTCGCCGGAGTAAATTACAGTGCATTCGTTTAACTGGTCCTTAATTTTTTGAAATCTATTCA